GTTTTCATGATAACTTATGCTGTGTATTTTTTTATTTAAATGTTATTCTAATACTAGCGTGCTTAATTTTAATAGTACCTGGGCTACCGAGCTTCGCTCGGAGTTTTTGGCCTAAAGTACAATTTTCTGTATTTTGGAATAATACAAAAGAAAACTGCATGAAAAATCGAAAACACGCGTTTTCTCAGACATAAGACTAATCTAGATCGATTTATCGCCCCCGAAACCCCTGTACGCTAAATTTCATGAAAATCGTTAGAGCCGTTTCCGAGATTCAGCTTGTATATATACCAGAATTGCTCGTTTAAAGATATAGGATTTTTTCGACCATTTTTCGAAGCCCAATTTTAGAGCATAGACATAGAATTCTGTCAGTTAAATTTAGATTTCGAGTGATAGTTTATTTTAATAAAAGTAAAATTCTTTTCTTTTTTCTTAATAAAAGTTTAAAAGTAGACCCTCAACTTACTAAAACTTAACACTCTGTCACCAAATAAGAAACACAATATCACAGTACTGAGATAACTGGTGAAAGAAACTCTCGCTGACTATTGACATATGTTTGTATTTAATATTATTATTTTTTGACATAAAATTGACCTGGGTATATTAAGACTCTACTACTTTAGTATTCATACGCCGTTAGATTCGTCTTGATAATTGGCAATATAAAAATTGTTAAAAATTAGAATGGCGGATTTCATTCGCTAATTTGTGTGTTTTTAAAAAAAAATCTTCCAAACCAATCGAGTGGGGTGTCAAAATAAAGGTTTTTAAGAGGTGTTCACAAAAATATATACAATTTATTTGTTTAAAAGTAATTTAGGATAAGAAATTGCCAAATATAATTTCAAATGTCTAATTTGCAAAAACTAAAAAGCATACGTCTTGCGGCAAGGATGAAACGTGTATGTCTCCGACTGCTTTAATACTTTATTACTTCTTCAACTTGTTTTCATCTTTTTAGCAAGCTTTTATGCAATAGATTTATTTTTTTATGTTTATAATATTATGGATTAACATACAATATTATACAATCTCACCAAAGATATCTATGAAGGCTTTGAAAATTTTATGAGCGTCTTGTACTTCTTTACGTTGTAACGTCTTAATGAGTAGCCTTTTACAACAGGAAAATATTTTGTTTCCACGGGAAAACACAATAACTGGTTCAAGGCATCTTTAGAAAATTACATAGCTAACACTCGCTATATACATGTTAAGTTTGACAAAGTTTAACTTAAAAAGGCAGAAATAAGTGCATGAATCTATCTCCTAAGGTACACTCGCAATAACTACTTATATTTAAAACGTACCTAGGGACGCACAGGGCGAAGCAAGGGCTAGTCGCTAGTTCAAAATAATGTCTAAACATAATATGTCGTGGCTATGCTACGAGTACGTCTTTATGTTCCCTTTAGGCAATCATCTATACATATAATAAAATTGTAATGAAGCCGAATCTGTACATAAAATATTTTTTGGAAAATCTTAGTGAAATAAACATTATTATCAATACAGAGGCCGAATCTATAGTTTTTAGAATTTTTGTCTGTCTGTCTGTATGTGCGAAAAAAAACAAAAACTGCATTGTAAGAGCATACTAATATGTAAAACCATGAACGAATTAGAGACTGGACCTGACATAAAATACAAATGTATGAAAACTAGTTCAACCAAGTGACGCATAACGCACACAAAGATTTTATTACATTATTATAAACACTGATACACAATACAATATTTCTAGTGCTTGAACGTAATCGATAAAATACATATATCGATGAACCAATGAATGACATTTTAGTCATTGGTTAGCATAGTCATCATATTTTACATCTTTTAATTTATTCTTCTTCTTTTAATTTTAATAAATTAAAATAAATGAATAAAAGAGGCAATAATAATGTGTCAAATAATAATTATTTTTTAATTTGATTTATATAAATACGATGGCATTGATGGCAACATTCTGTTGGCCTATAATAATGTTAATGAACAAATGAATATCGGGTATATATTCCATTAATAAATATTATTTTATTTAATTAATATTTATATAATAAATATTATTTTGTAAAGATTAAAAAAATATTAAGCTAATTTAATTAAATAAAGTGATTTTGTTGATTCTGTTATTGAACTATTTTAATTGGCAATTGATTGTCTCGGGTAGTTATAAAAATGTGACACTGTCCTACTATTGCTCAGTTCTTAATAAACATTTGTGAAATTAGGAAAAAGAAAAAGAGATTGCAAATTAAAGTGAGTGTTGGATCGTGAAAGTAAAATAATTAGTGCAAGTGGTAAAGTGTTTTATTACAAATCGCCAACCCAGAAGTTTAGTGCTAAAACATTATTGTTTGATTTTGTGTAATTTATGTGTTGAAATAAAATGATCTTTATTATTATTACAATGGAATAATATTCCAAAGTATATAAATGTGGAATAAAATAAAATAAAAAATTAAGTACACATACTAATTATAATTTTTGCATTTTTATTTTTATTTGATTTAGAAAATATTTTTATAAATTTATTGTCATCAGATTGTAGGATACTGTGGTAAAAGTATTTTATGTTATTGTACTGTACAAATAACACAATTCGTTTAGTAATTTCGTCAAATATCGATATATTTTTCGACATTGTCAAGCACTAGTCGATGTCAAATGGACTCACTCGACAGTTTAGTCATTTGTTCTGAATGGTATAATCCAGGGATTTTATGATGGTTGTCAGATGTCAACAATACATAGAAATATCGACTATATTTAACATAGTTGGATAATATGACATTTTATTTTACATTTAATTAAATTGTGTGATAAATAACAATAAATGTAATAAAATAATGTATTTACAAGTGAAAAGAAATACTGCTGCTTCCGCCGTTATAGTTTTTACATCATTTAACAGAACATTTAGTCATTTTTGGGAGATGTTTTGGTGACAAATAAGTGCTTGAGACTGACGCAAAAAACAAACGACCAAGCCTAAAATCTCCTGGTTACTGAGAAGACCGATAAAGGTACGTGCGCTTATATGTCTAGTCCAGTGGTTAATTCGTTCATGTGTAAAACCTAAGAATTTGGTTTTTAGTCATCTGAACGCAGGCGGAGCCGCGGTCAATGCTAGTTATTTCATAAAGTTATACTGTCAATTATACTGTAAACTAGCAACTCACCCTCGCTACGTTCGGGTGCGTTCGTTCGATTTTGTTCACAATTTCATTTTTTTCGCGGAACCCTGATACTTTTTTAAAAATAAAAGTAGCCTAAGTTACTACTTATAACATCAGCTATCTACCAATGAAAGTCGCGTCAAAATCGGTCAAGCCGTTTCGGTGATTAGCCGGATCAAACAAACAGGCAAAATTACAAAAAAATGCCTGTTCGCGTTTTTCTTGTTAGTACCATATATACTTTCATATGCATTTAATATAAAACTGTTATTCTGACTTCAATTTTATTTATCTGTATAAAATGTGCCTTAATAAAAAGAAGACAAAGATAGCCTATTACTGTGCCTACCAAATACTTCGTTATTTGAATTATAATAGTATTTGCTTCTATAACATTTATTTTATTTATTTTACTAGCGTCCCTAGCTTGCTTCTCCATACAAACTTTCATCGCCATTCTCACCCCTCTAAGGGATGATTTCCGGGATAAAAACTATTTCACTTACTCATTTTTCATATCATGAAATTCAAAAAAAATCTTAATTTAGTAAAAAAACATTCTTGTAAGTTCTTTTTATACAAAACTTTTCCTGACAATAACAAACACAAAAAAAAATAATTGTCCAATTTGGTGCAGTCGATCGGAAGCTATGCGTGTTCATACATGATTCTTTTTTATTTATAGAGATAGATAGAAGATAGATTTATTAAGGTACAGAAATAGAAAACAAATTAAAAAATTACTACTCCGTATTAAAAGCTAAAATATCATTTTAAATTCGTTGTCCAATTATATCTGTACACAACATTCAAATAAATACACATAATTGTATAAACAAACTTAACCAAAAAGTGGATATTACAGTATGTGCATTTAAAGTTAGGTAAAAATATTAAAAACAAAAAATATATATTTAAGTTTCATTTTAAAAAAACAACGAAAGAAAAAAAGGAGAAGAGACAGAGAGAAAGCATATCCTTATTATCGAAAATAATTATTATAATTTCCTTGTATAAATATAATAATTAATAAACTTTATTTTGCAGCTCACCTTCGTCCGGGATGATATTCTTATTGAAAAACTACTGATGTATGTATTTGTTTCATTACTTTTACCAAAGATATCCAGTCATTATTGACATTTTTGACATGACATTTTGTTACTATAAATTAAATGAAATAAAAAGAAATAAAATAAATTAAAAAATATGCTGTCAAACTTTCAACACTTCAAGGCCACCAGTTTGGTAATCATGAATTAGTCAGGAAAATCAATTTGTAGGTACATTAATTTTAATGAAAATGAAAATCATATTTATGAAATGATTATATTTTTGTTCGAAATATAATTAATATCTGTATTTCTTTATAACAAAAGAAAAATATATAGTTGTTGACACAACTAGGGTTAATGTTATTCCCACACCAGGTTCAACCCGCTTGGCGACACTGTTTAGAGTCCCATCTGAGGATAATTGACATGCGATATACTGGGGAGAAAAATTGGATAATTGTATTGTATTTTCTTATATAATTAACATTTATTTTCAATTACCATATTTATTATTTATTTATCAATATTTTACATTAAATAATAATTTCTAGTATTTATAAAAATGATTAATAATATTTTATTCGAAAATCGTTATAACTATAAATAGTATCGCCTTCGACAGAGCAATTAAAATTAATTAGCATATTGCAGCTAATTAACAGCTCTACCAAGCATAAACTATACCTATTTTATAATAATTTATAATCTTAACTAATAAAGAATCTAGATCAGGTTTACGGTGATTAAAAAAAATATTAAGGAGTCCTAGCTGGAGTCAGAGTCCCATGCACCATCTCGGCGGCATCCCGAAGCGCGGCGCCGCCCCGCTCAGTTCGCGGTCTCCATGGCGACCAGCTCAAATGACGTATCGATCCCGCGTGGGGGCGGGGGGGCTCACGGCTCGCGGGGTGGCGCCGCTCCACCCGCCGCCGACCCCCATGCACCCCTGCCACCGCCACTCGACCGTTGGCCCATGCAAAATGACGGATGTAAAGTTTGGATATACCTCCTTGGAAGGAAATGATATTTTCATTAAAATGAAAATGAGGTAATGTTTTATGATTTATTTCTTTGCGTCATATATTCATTTCGAAACACTTGAATCTCGGCCCAATTCTTGGCATCTATATCGAGTTACAGAAGAAATAACGTTAAGACTTACTATTTTAAGGGAATTGAATTTCCAACGATCTACTTTCTTTTTATGGGCCATAAATCGTATTTATTGTTACTTATAATATTATTTTCTTATGAAGTCGGAACATAATTTAATAATAATTTCAAGTTTCAGTACTAAGCTTTGATGTCTGTTTGTAAGCTATAAATACAGTATTTACACATTGTATGTATGTATAGGTACAATGTACATATTGTATTACTTACACCAGTATGTAAGAGTGATTTTAACTTTGCCTTCATATTAAATTCTTACGATAAATAAAAGTTTGATAAGTCTAGATTCTCAAAAAAAAAACCTAAGTATTATTTTTTACACATTTAATAGTTTTTCTTTGTACTGAAATATATAAATACTATGTACCTATGCATTTATACTTAAATGTTATATACTCATAAAATAATCGATTTTCGTAAAAAGCTTATAAGTACTTGTTAACAAGTACTATATATGTAAGTGATATAAAAAGTAACAAATACAGATAAAATAAAAAACGCGAAATATACAATTACTATATTAAAGACTTTTCAACTTTCAGAAGTTAAATAGAACAAACACTCGTTCAATACATACATACATTTAAACGAACAAAAAAACGTGACAGTATTGTAGAACGAAATCGAATTATTTTGGAGAGTACGTGCAGAAATACGCTATTAAAACTAATAGTGCGCGGCTTCAGAAACATCGATGAAACTTTAATTAGTTCGTAGTATTAATTTACTAAAACTAATTTACGGATGCAATTAAATCTTTGTAACGTGAATATTAATGTCAAATTGATTTAACAAATTTCAAATTTAAATATAAATTGTATTTATGCATTAAATATTATTTTAGTCTATATTATATATGGCTTATTATTCACTCATAAACATCCTTTAACTATCAAAAAGACCTACAGGCAGAACAGAACTTTTTATTTTTGAAATATACATTATTATCGATACAGAGGCCGAATATATACTTTTTAGAATTTTTATCTGTCTGTCTGTTACCGCATCACAGAAAAGCCACTTGAGGGATTATGATGAAATTTGGAATGGTGATAGCTGGTTATCCGGGTCAACATATAGGATACATTTTATCGCGAGAAAATATTTCATTTCTGAGAAAAAATACAAAAACTGCAATGTAAGAGTATACTAATATGTAAAGCCTAAGATTTTGGTTTTTATTCATCTGCACGCGGGCGAAGCCGCGAGCAATGCTAGTAAAAAATAAACAGTGTTACGTAATATTTAAGGAAATAATGTTTACTATTCATTCGCGCAGATTCATATTCATTTTTTTTAAATGTCATTGCCGTGTTTAAACGTCTCTTCTAAAAATTTTGTTTCAAACATTAACATAATTAAGTGGTTCTCAAAGTTTTCCCATTATAAACTTAGCGAGAAATTTTATTTTTCCCTCAAGTCACGCGTCCCTGTGTGCGCGCGTGTGGACGATACGGCGAATTGGATTTTCTCTAGTGTGAGTAAACCTACTTTTGTTGACGGAACAGAAAATCATAGAGTGTTATGAAATATAAAATTTTGCAATATAATTTAGTTATTAATTATTATAATTTTCAGTATTATTTTTAACTATATATACGTACACTCTCAAACCCAGTAGGCAGCGTTGTCCTGCCATAGACCTCGTTTGACCGAAAATTAAAGAAAATCTATATCTCGACAACAACGTCTCCTGTTGGTCCACTTATAGCTAAGACTAGATCCAATAAGTACGGAAAATAAAATTCATCAAATCAAGCCGTTTAAAAAGAAAAAAATATATAATGCACGCACAGCAAAAAAAATATTACTTTTGAAGTTGATGCAATCCCAAAAAAAATTTCATCTATCAAATACTACAGTCCTATTTGAATATTTTTGCTGATATACATATGAACGTGAGAAATATGAATGCAACATCTTTACTTAGAAAAAAAAAAAATATAAATCAAAAGTATAGATGAAGAAAAAATAGAAAACTCAGTTGAAAATTTAAATACATCGTCATACAATACACCATACGTAACAAGTTACACGACATGTTAACATGAATGACAACCACGATATTTGCCCAGAGCAAAAATCAAGCGGACCTCTGGCACAAGCAAGTACTTTAAACACTGTCAGGAGTAAAAAAAACGAATAAAACAAATATGTATTAACTTATATCACAAGTAGCGATTAACACAAAGCACATATTTCATATTATACTTAAATTTCATATCTTAAAACTCTTACGTTACTAAAATTATTAATATTTAAACGATTCTAAAGATTTGAGTTTCAGTTATAACGTCTTCTCTCGATACGAACCAAGAAATATAGATCCGCGCGAGTAAAGCCTGTAGTAAATAACTAGTCTGCATTATTACATTCCTATCAAAATATAAACATTGCTCTTTTAATACAAATTGTCGAAGTATTTTTATATGTATAAAGTTAAATAATAGGTATATGTATGTACTATATTCTTGTACGGTATACATCTTTATGTAGTTTTGTTTTGTGTGTGTGTGTGTACTGTATTATGACTACGCATATTATATATATACGTGGTGAATTTAGTTACTGGTTATACTTAGATTATTATTAGATAAAATATAACTTATTTATACACTTTCTCTACCACAAAAACATCTAAACTGTTTGTTATGTAAGCTCACAAGCTCCCCACAAGCAACTTACACTTTCCGAAAAGGCATAAAACCATAAGTATTTCAAAAGCTTCAAACAGCGTTTGAAGGTCTAAGAACACTAAAACATTAAGTTAAATGGTAACATTACCGTAAGAGATGTGCTACATTTTTAAAGCCACTTGTAATAGTTTGCCGGTTAGGATATTAATAATACATAATTTACTAAAATAAATATTGGGATACTTTAATCGATTCTTAATAGGTATGTGCTAAAAAACCATATATGTCTACACTGATAATGCCGAACTCAAAACTTATAGCGCTTTAAAATATTTTAATTTACATTTAATTCTTCTATCTCCCTGTAAAAATCCCATAAAATATTTTTACAAGCAAGTTTATTTAACTTGCAATGTTTGTATCAATGTTTGTTCGGGTCAAATTTGCAACTGGATTTTAAAACAGTTATCCTCAACAGTTGCGATGTTAATTTAGATGACAATGTATGGTTAGATATGTGACATCATTCTAAATTGCTTATTTGTGCTCATTTGTGTCCAGCAGTTCAGCCGGGTGCGAAGCCAAGAAACGCACAGGAAAGTGGCCCATTTCGGTGGGCGGTGGGAAGTGGCCCACTTCGGTGCGCTCCTGGTACTTCTCTGATAGCAGAGTGAACTATGGAGCAACCCCATGGTTGTTGTGGTCTGCTTCAGTATAGACCTGAGTTTTATTGGCTTTTAGTGAGTAGTAATGGTTTTGCCGATAAGTCCCACATAACCACCTGTATGCCCACAGGTGGTGTATGCGTAAATTCATTTCCCACCATAAAAAAGGCTACATGCGAGTGAAGCCTCTACCAAACTCGAGAACCTTCTACCAATATATTTAAATGTAATTCTACCAATATATTTTAAAAAATGATCCCAGATTCCCAATGTCATTTTTTATAAAACATACAAAAGTTTTAAAGGCCATTAAAAATTCTCAATTATAAATTTTCAGGATAATCTGTAAGTATAGGATTGGAAATCTGTACCAAGTTTTTAATCTGTATATGGCTAGGAGAAATTAATTAAACATTCCGTCTATTATAAAAAAATGCTTTATAATTTATTTTTTTATTTTCTAAATTACTTCCTGCTTTATTGTAGTCTTCGTTTTCTTGTTATACAAACATGAAACATCAAACTGCAAGCAGGTAAAAAAGAAAGGCTGTGAAAAAACATGGCAATTAAATATGATGATGTTCTCCTAGCCGATTCCGGCCACAGCGGCCAATCTCATTGAGACTAGCCAACTGCGCAGGAGATATTATAGTGTAGCGCGTGTGCGCGCAGACACAAGTGTACTCTCTATTCCTGTCACTCTCATACTCCGGTGGGACGACTACTCGACACGACCAGTGAGAGTTAAGGCGCAGAACCAACGGCTTTACGTGCTCTCCGAGGCACGGGGGTGAAACACCGCCAACGTCCCAACTCCGGGCTGTTACTGAGGCTTAGTTATACAGAAAGACTAAATAACTAAACTTGGTCCGACCCAGGACTCGAACCCAGGACCTCCGGGTGTGCAGCCGTACATGCTAGCCAGTACACCACCGAGGCAGTTAATTAAATATAAGCTCTAGTTTACTCGTATTTAAATATTGTCCTTTATGTTGATTGATATTTGTTTCGGGTAATGTACACTTATAAATACAATCGAAATAGTTTCCAGTGATTTCAAAATAGCAAATAGTGAGCTTATAATATTGTTATTTAAACTAAATCGTTTTATCAACATTCTCTACTTACTCGAACCGATTTAATTGAATGAGTATAAAATTAAAATGTGTAAGTAAATTATTCAGTTATAAAAATAATTTATACTTTAAATTAAAAAATATATAAAATGATCGTAATGCATTAAAAAAATAAGAAATAACTAATTGTTTGTGTCTCAATTCAACTCAAAAATTAACTAGATGAAACAAAAATCCCTATTGAGTTATATTATACTATATAAAAATTAAAATATAAAAATTAAAAGGCTGTTTTTCTTAACATCGCAATTAAAATTTAACTTAACTTATCTTAGTCCAAGGCATTGCGCTTAATAAAACTATGGGATCTCATTAGGAACAAAGAAATATTAATTCGAATAAATATCAATGGATATCATCATACCAATAAAATAAAATTAAATTTTCAAGATCACTTTTCAAGATCTCTACGTATATTTCTGTGAAGTAGAGTATAATT